GTGTAAAGTTTTACCAATATCCCTGAGTTAATCCCAACCTGCTTCAAATTACCATGTTTTAAAGTTTTACCTCAGATTCTGATCCAGGCTATCAAAAAATATATCAAATTGAGGACAGGTTTGTTTTTGTTTTGTTTTTAAATTAACAGAAAAGAGTAATAAAGTATTTCTTAGAATTTTACTTTAAAAATTCTTAGAATAACTCTATTCAACTCACTCAGGCAAATTTTATATTCCAGCAATATTAACAAATAAATTATTGCAATGACCTAATTCAGCATTACCAAAACAATGCCTAAACTTCCTTTGCAAATTCATTATTTAACTTTAAAAGAGCTGCTATTACATCTGACACTCAGATCTTGGTATCTAATACCACTTTCCAGTAAGAGGAGCCAGGGCTCCTTAAAGAAATGATTGATTCTAAGAGTGGAGCAGAACTATACACGGTGACGCTATAGTGCCAGTAAGTAAGGAAGTACTCAAAAAGAAAAAGAAGAGAAAAAAAAAAGTAAAACAAAATACAATGATGAGGGATTAAAAATATCCCAATGGCCAATTTAGAATAATGTGAGTAATAAAATAAAGTAGTTTTGGATTATATCCCAAGGTATAAAAATAAATATCTAAGAATCCATACTTATATAATTAAATGATTAGCTAAAGAAATAAATGGGGGAGGACAAACAAATCTCTCATGGAGAAGTATTCTAAACAATTTATGAAGCTACTCTACCTTCAAGGATGTGGAACATGATTCCCCACTCTTCCAGAATGAGCTGCACACAGGGATTTCCTTCTGAAGAGTAGACTGGATGGTGGGGGAAAGGTGACTTTATAATGGTAAAACCTGTTAACATTAGGGAAAACTGTGTGGGAGGTGTGTGGGAAGTCCGTACTATCTCCACAACCTTTCTGTCAATCTGTTTCTATTTTTTAGAAAAAGAAAAAGAAAGAATGGATTTTAAGTTTTTTGTTTGTTTTTGTTGTTTTTTAAGGCTGCTGTTGCCTTTGGCTTTCTAAAGTTTGCTATCTAGCTTGCCTGTGGAAATCCTAATTAAGTTCAGATCACTTCACGCATATAATTCTTCACAACACTCAAATGCAGAGGCCGCTTACACTGCACTTGAATGGAAAAATGAGAACCAAAGTCCTACACTTGAGTTCTGCTCTCCATACAACTATCCATGGGGCCATTTTAACCAGTTTCCTCATCAATAAAGTGAGGCAAGCAGACTTGGAGGGCATTCTGTTACTCCTAATGGGGAGAGGCTAATGTGATGGCCTGTCTGCACTCTCATCATTGAGTGTCTCATCTACATCAGGCTCCAGTTTTGTCTGGCCACCCATCCAGGTGTCAACTCAGTGCCAGTCCTGGCTTTTTCCAGTTTGTTTCTTTAGACCTTATGGTTATTCTGGAAGGATAACCAGAAATTAGATAGATTAGTTGCCTAGGTGTGGGAGAAGAGGAGGATAGAGCAGAAGTGAGACATGATTTGCACTGTATATACTCTTGGGCTATCCGAATCATTTTTACTATGCATACGCCTTAGCTATTTAGAAACTTTTTACAAAAGCAACAAGACACCATTCCTCGTTACTCAGGAATCGCTGTGTGTTATAGAACCATAGCAAAAAGGAAAAAGCATGGCTCTAGGAGATTAGTTTAAAATTATTTCATTCAACTGATTTTGTAACAAATCAGCTATTTCAAAATAGCAGTCATAGAATCAAAAGTGACTTGGGCCTGTCTATTTACTAGTTATTTAATGTCCTTAAATCCCAGCTTCCTCATCTGTAAAACTGAAATAATAATAATCATCACACTTCTTAGGGTTCTTGAAAATATTAAATTAAAAAATATGGGAAGTCCTTAGCATAGTACCTGGCCCATCTACTAGCGTCATTATCAGCATAATAGAAGTCTGGGGGAAGATTTGATTTTTCACTCATACAAGTCGTCTACTCAGCCCTGGATCCAGAAGCAAGTTTGAAATTTTAACACCCCTAAAGTGCACTTTGTTTTCATCAATTATTCTTCCTAGTTCCCCAAAGAAAAAGCATTAAATAACTAAAATAAGCAGTATTTCCTTCTCTGCACAGAAAAATCTCAAATTATAAGGAACATGTAGAAGTCACATACTATTAGTAATATCTTTTGAACTGAATAATTCTTATGGATCATGAAATCAACAAAGTATTCAAAGACAACAATATAAAACGTTATTATATGTGCAGAGTGCTACAATTGAAGTTGTCTTTGGGATTCTGCCAGAAGATTGCATAAATTTAAAACTTTAGGCTCCATTAGCATCCTTGCCTTTTGCCTTACTGTACTACAGAAGGACATGTCATATTTTACCTAGACACAGATTTTTGAGACTAGTGATAAGATATGCAAATAACTTTAATAAAAATGCTGGTTAAAGGAAGGCATGTAAACATGTTACATACTCAATAAATATTTTCTGATTGAATGTTGTATCCATAAATATATGAATAAATAATAGGCTACCATTCCATATTCCTATGAATTATTAGAAAAATTCATTTCCTGTCTCAAAAAAGTAGGTAAACAAAAAATTTTACCCTTATTCCGAAGTTATCATGGTTTTTTAATTAAAGGTATATTTCCATTCACAGGATCTTTTGTGTATTTGCATGGATTCACGCATACACACAAGCAACACTATAGCAGAAATAGTATGTGTATCACTCTGTACTTGAATAAAACCTAAGATATGAAAGTACTACTTTACCAAAGATATACTTGAGAATTTTTTATAGTTTCTAATTTTTTGCTTTAAAGTTTTGCTACAAAATTTCTTTAAACCACTTCTTGTTTTGAGAGCACACAAAGAGAACGTATATATCTGATTTTTAACTGTACCTAGCAACTTGACTGCTACTATGAAGTAAAAAGCATATAGTCATTGTAAATGTTTTTACTATGCCTGTCAGCGAATGCTCCAAAACAACTGGGAAGAGGAATGCAAATCTGAAACTACAATGATAAAAATCTTACAGAACTATATATCCAAATAGTTAGATAGGAGCCACTTAAGAAATTCCATTTCATTACTAGTCCACCCAATCCAATAATGGCCACTGTGGACCATGTTTTTCCTCAAATCTTCCATTTTACTTAGCACTTTCCCACGGTTAGTAAATCATTTACATGTATATCCAGTTCTAACAAAATCTGAGAACAAGAAGTTGTGCAGTTAGATCAGAGACAGAGAAATGTTACTTGCACAAGGCTACCAAACTATTAAGTGCCCCAAACTGGGATTCATACCCAAGTGTTCTGCCCCTAAACATAGTGCTTGCTCCAGTTTCTCCCAGCTAATCTCCAAAGCTGAATTCTACCTTTAGTGACAAGACAATTTCTTGGAGCATAATGCCCTCTGTCCACCTGACTGCAATCTCTCTTCAGGTGTTTACATATCATCTCTGGCTTCACTATAGTCAACTCCCCTCACTCCAGTCAACTCCCCAAACTATAGCCAGAGACATCTTCCCAAATTTAAATCAGATAGTCTTCTAAGTCAGGCCAGTAAATGCTTTTCATTCTAGATGCAGAATTAACTTCTAACCAATGTCTTCACGGACTGAGTGGCCTGAACCCCTCCCTTTTCAGGGTTGGAGAATACTGTCTACATTCCAGACAGGCTCCTGTCTTTTTTTACCGCCATGCACACTCATCCTGGACCACCTCTTCTCCCTTTCACCTAGTAAATGTACTATCTTTCCCACCGTAAGCATCACTTCCTCAAGCAAACCTTCCCTACCCTTACTATCCAAATCAAGTGCATTTACTATATACTCTCAGGGTGCCATCTGCCTCTAATTCATTGCAGTGATCACAGTTATAATTTACATTCACTTACATAATCATTTGATTAATGTCTGACTTTCCTGCCAGAATGTCAGTGCCACAAAAGGTAAAGATGAGGTCATTTTATCTGTTTTTAATCCCAATGCCTGGCATAATTTCCAGCCCATAGTAGATACTTGACACTTTATTTTAAAAGCTGAACAAATACATAAGTAGGCTAATTCCTTTTTCAGTCTTTAAATATATGAAAATAGCTATTAGTATGACAATGCCTCACTCTACACATATATACACAAATGTTTTAATAAGGAAACCACTCCGACATTTTGAGATATCCCTTTTATGACAAAGATCCCAGACAGTTCTTAAAAGCTGGAAGCTATAAATAAATGCAAGGGTATTTGTTCATCGGTACAAAGAATGCACCTTCCTTGTTCCAAACACTGCACTTGTATTAAAAAAAATCTACACCTGGAACATGATAGTGACAGTGATAGCACAAATTTTCAGGTCCTCTTCATATGAATTTCTCTTCAAATATGTCTATTTGATTCTCGACTAGTGTGATAACTTTACAAAACTATATGCAGTATTCTACATTAGTCACTATTACAGACCATTATAGATTCAGCCATCATTTCAGATGTCTAAGTTTTTTGAAAATCCTGATCCCCTCACCTAAACTATTAGCTTTCGCTTCCAGCTTTATTTAATATGCAAACATTATAGGCATGATTAATCCAAGTCAATGATAAAAATGATGAATAGGACAAAAATGAAAGAAAGAACCCTGTCATGTCACTGGAAATAGCTCTCCAAGCTAACATCAATCCATTCATCAATTTTTTTCAACCATCTATGATTCTACGTGTCTTCATAAAACAACCTCTAATTTAACCATTTATCTCATAATAATATCATAAGACATTTTATTCAAAGCGTTGCCAAAATAAACTTATTACATGGAAAAAATTACATAAGTTTAACATGATACATTCTTAAGTCAACTCCTATGAACTCTGGAGACCACTTCTTTTCTAGGTATATCTTCATGAACCCTTTTGTCTAAGGACCCATTAAAGAATTGTCCCAAAAATAGAAATGAAACCTACTAATCTTATAGTTGCAGAATTATACTTTTATCCCTTTTTTAAATAACTTTATTTATAAATAATAAACATACTTTCCATAAATTTCTTCACTGTTAGTCCAAAGAAACCTCTGGCTTAATTAGAATTTACATTTTTCCTTAAATATTCCAAAATCTATCCATGTCAACTTTGGAAATCTATTCGTGCCTGATACTATAAGATAGGGTAAACCGTGATCAGTGGCCAAATTTCTAACATTTGCTGTTCAACCATTTTTCTTGATCTTGCTCTCTGACTCCATACATTCCAGAATATTCAATGGATTTGTAATAAACTTCCAAGATGATGGGAAATTTCTTGCTCATTGTTTGCCTAAAATCTTTGCTTGTGTCCATCTTATTAAACGAAATAAATGCTCCAAAAACGCCCAGGAATTCAGCTACTAAAACTCCTTTAGAGATCTTCTTTGCCAGTGGTTCCAAAGTTCGGACCATTGTGAGCTGCTACATTTACCCTTTTTTAAAACAAACAAACAAAACAAAACAAAAAACAACATAAAAAAAGACGGTACCTTCTTGATCTTGTCTTTTGGCACCTCTGATGCTGGCCATGATTGCTCAAAGATCACCAAACCACTAATTTCTGTAAATTATTTAATCCGAGGGCATTAACTACTTAAGAGTCAAAGTGCTTTCTCATTACTGCTTCATTTTCCTCGGACTTTAATTCCCTTGCTATCAACATTAGTTCCTTAACTGAATTTGAATGTCATTTTCTTTTTTCTTTCAGTCTTTATTGTTGAAAGTATTGCATATGTCCTCTTTACTCCCCCATCGACCCCTTCTAGCCGCCTTTGCCTCCTGCCCCAGGCCTTCCCCTGCCCCTATTGTCTGTGTCCATGGATTATGCATATATGCATACAATTTCTTTGGATGATTCCTTCCCACCCATGCAACCACTCCCATCTTCCATTTTCTTTTGAAGTTGAAACCAATACAGGAGTTCCATAGTTCTGCCTTCACTTCAACATCAGTATTACACCATCTGTTTGAAATAGTAGTTTATACCTTTTCTAGTTTTTATGATCTGAGCATAACATGTGGTTGTTCTCAGCTTCTTCACAAGCCTCAGTTCATTTTAGGATTCAGACTCTTGTATGCTACTTCTCTTTAATATCACTCTTGTATTTGTGTTCACCCTTTATTTGCATATGAGAATCATTTGTGCTGTCATTCATCCATTCAATTAATGTTTTATTGCTTGCCAAATACAAGCAATTCTCTGAACTAGAGGAAAGTATACATAGATACCTCTGTTTTTTCTGTCTTCTATGAATTGAGAGAAAAAGTTGAGTTTTAGGCAAAAATATTGGCTTCTTTATTTCCAAGAGAAAAACGTAGGTGCTGCTTGAGCAGAGTGTAGAGCAACTAGCTGAAGTATGAAAAGGCTCCGGAAGTCTTCTTCAAGAAAATTATATCTGCGTTGACTCTTGAAAAGTAAGAAGCCATTCGAGGATGTGGAGAAAAAGGAACCCTCATACACTGCTGGTGGGAATGCAGACTGGTGCAGCCACTGTGAAGAACAGTATGGAGTTTCCTCAAACAGTTAAAAATGGAACTCCCATTTGACCCAGTGATCCTACTTCTAGGACCATATCCCAAGAAACCAGAAACACCAATCAGAAAGGATATATGCACCCCTAAGTTCATAGCAGCACAATTTACAATAGCTAATATTTGGAAACAGCCTAAGTGCCCATCAGCAGATGAGTGGATTAAAAAACTGTGGTACATCTACACAATGGAATACTACTACACCACTATAAAAAAGAAGGAACTTTTACCATTTGCAACGGCATGGATGGAACATTATGCTAAGCAAAATAAACCAGTAGGAGAAAGATAAATATCACATGATCTCACTCATATGTGGGATCAACATAATCTGATGAACAAGAATAGATCCAGAGACAAATGGGGGGAGGGGGGGCAGAGTAGAAAGCAACCAGAAGACTTATATGCATGCATATTAGCATAACCAATGGACACAGACATTGAGGTGGTGGGGGCTTGCCCAGGGTGGGAATGGCTGGGGGTGGAGGGCTGTCAATTGGGGGAAAAGGAAACATATGTAAAACTTTAGACCAGTGGTGGGCAAACTGATTAGTCAACAGAGCCAAATATCAACAGTACAACGATTGAAATTTCTTATGAGAGCCGAAAACAGACTTCTGCGCACAGGCCACAAAGTTTCAATCGTACTGTAAGTGCGTGCCTGCACATGGCATTTTGTGGAAGAGCCACACTCAAGAGGCCAGAAGGCTGCATGGAGCTTGTGAGCCGCAGTTTGCTGACCACTGCTTTAGACAATTTTAAAAAAAGTAAGTAGCCATTAAAAGATTGCAATTACGTGCAAAAGCATGCCAATATAAAAAGTACATTATTTTCATTCAAGACTGATTAACTGTATGTAGCTGAAATTTAAGATATATGGAGTACAAGAGAAGACCTGAAAATATGGAATCAGTTACAAAAGGCCTTGTAACCTAGAGAGTTCAACACATAGGATAAATAAAGTGGAGCAAAGGCTCCCTTCAGAATACTATATAGACATTAAAAGAAATCAAAGTGTATGCCCCAAAATATAGACAGATCTTTAAAACAATGCTGAGGACAAACAAAATGTCTACAGCATAATACCAGTAAAGCAAACTTAAAATACCTGCACATCCAGCATTTGTGTTCCCACAAAATAAATCTCATGTCTTATAGAGACACATACAAATAAAATGATTCAGATAAAAAATGAGAGTAGTTACCTATGGAGAGGAAATATAATAGGGATGGGAAATTGGCACAAAGGAATTTTTTTAAGGATATGAATCTGTTTGACATCCACAGACATTTTAAAAATGTATAGTATTCCTTAAAGAGAAGTTTTTAAATCTGGGAATGGCAAATTTTATTGTAATTTTTAGAAAACATGTGAAGTATACAGTCCTGTACCTATAGTTTCTTCTGGAGTCAAAAAGCAAGAATTTATTACCCTTTTTCTGCACATGCCGAGTAGATCTTTATCATTCTGTAAGAAAAGAATGAACTGCCAATAAGTAAAGATGGATGCAGAAGTTTTGAATATAAATGTAAGTGAAGACTAGGTTGGACAGAGTCAATTGCCACAAACACAGTATCTGAAAACTCAAATTTGGCTATCTTCTGGGAATATTATTTAAAATATTCTTGCACTGTGGTAGATTCTGGACTGAAAATAAATTCTAAGGTTGTTTTTTTTTGTTTTTTTTTTCCCCCAAGCTGAGTTTTGCTCCCATTTTCTTATAAGTGAGCCAAAGAGAGCAATGAAAAATTAAAACAAGGCCTTACTGAGTATATCTTGGGAGCTCATAGTAGAGAACTCTGTAACAAACTCAAGCCCTATCACTTGAGAGATGAATCTTACATTACCAAGAACTGCTTCATCTGTACAAACAGGCTTTCTATAGAACTGTAACTGAACGCTACAGGCAAGGAGCCAACGTTTTAAAATTTCATCAAGCTCTAGTGCCAGGTGATAACTGTTGGCTGTGACATGACTTATGCAACACACTTCATCTACTTATCTTAGAATCAGAGGAATTTTTCCAAAGTGCTCTCATTCAGATAAACAGGATGGTTTCTACCCCAAGCACATTTGTTAAAAGAGGAAAACACACCTGGGAAGTTCGAGGACAAGATCCTACTGATTAAATTCTGAGAATGAAGAACTTTAAAAACATGTAATTGGCATCTGCATGTGGTAATCCTTTATTGAGAAGACATTGTTTTTCATTTGGATTCAGAAAGCTAACTAGAAAGCAACCAGAATCAATATATATTTTAAAAATTGTAAGTGATATGTGCAAATAATACGTAATGTGGTCAACACTACTCTCTATTTATATAATCTTCTATTTCCATGGACATGCTCATGAGGGTCATGTGTCTATTTTCCTCTTTGGGGTATGTTCTTTGGCAATATGACAGGGCATCTTCTCCTCATGACTCTTCATGAAGTATCATTTCAGACACTATTTAGTTATCCAACATCTCATCCTACTATTTTCTTACCCACTCTACTTAAAATAAGGTATATTTTGATAGAAGGTAGAATTTAAAAGAGAGCATCTTCCAATAATGATGCTAATACAATTTTACTTTTTAAATATTATTACCTAAAGAAGATAATGTATAATATATTATTTATAGGTGATGAGATATGGATGTATACTAGCTCCATTCCTCTTTATAAAATATATGCTGCTTTTATAATCAATAAAGAAGGCTTAAACAACTATATAGTGTCATGATGGGAAAAAAATATAACAAAATCTCAATTTTAAAAGACAGTTATATATCGAAGAACCTTGGTCTGGGACCTTTCTCTTGCCTTCAGTCATTACCCAGGCCTACAATCCAACTTAGATATGAGTGCACTAACTCACTAGCTTTGTCATGGGATCTACAACAAACTGGACAATGGCAGGCAGGGGCTGAGAAAATCCAAAAGTTACAAATCACATACCTAGAAAAGACATTAAATCTATTCTGGGTTCTAAAATTAAAGTATACTAAAATGCTAAGTTTTCTTATAATAAGACATTAAATCAGCACCTCAGCAATTTCTGCTAAACTAAACGGTTTCAAATAAACAAATATTCTTGTACCTCAATATACTCATGCATGAAGAAATAATATTTATAACGTCACATAACAGATGTAACATTATTGTTACAAAAAGGTCCTTGTTCAATAAAAACATTTATCACCCTGATATTTGCCCAGTTTTCCTCTATGTTTTGCACTGATCATAGAAGATAAACTAACATTTTAAAACACAACAAATAACCCTAGCCAGTTTTGCTCAGTGGGTAGAGTGTTGGCCCATAAACTGAAGGGTTCCAGATTTTATTCTGGTCAAGGACATATACCTCAGTTGTAAACTAGTCCAAGGCCCTGACTCGGAATGCAACCAATCAATGTGTCTCTCTCACATCGATGTTTATCTCTCTGTTGTCTCTCCCCCTCCCTTCAACTCTCTTTAAATAAAATCAATTGAAAGTACCCTCAGATGAGGATTAACAACAATATAACTTTTAATGCTCAATTTTACTTTTCTTAGCATTAAACTTGAAACAGATACTGAAGTTTACTGTAAAACCTATTCATGTCACTTATTTACTTGATTCTCTGTACACCAAAACCGAGGCAGGATTCCACAGAATCTTAAAGCTAGTAACTTCCTCTCATCTTCCCAGGCTTACGAGTAATGTTAGGGGCTGAAAGAGTTCTCAAACAATATGTAATATCACTAATTACACTAAGAGGTGACAGTAGCTAGCTATAAGCTAAACATGTCCTTATCAAAAAGCTCTGAAACACTGTTCACTGTTTTTAGGTATACACACTTCTATTGATAGTTATAGAGGACAGTATCAGGCGTCTGTCTTCAAACTACGGCCCGCAG